CAAATTGAAGTATTGACTATGGTCATAATGCAAATAGCACATTAAATACAATTGTGCAGCTCATGCCCAATCAGGATTAGCCAGGCTGCTGACTAAGAAGTTTGGAGAGGAGTGGGTTTAAAAGGCTTTCAACACTTTGTACTGCAGATAACGTCAGCATCATCACATGGATTTCCTAACAGCTTACAGGTATTTAAGTATGGTATTTAATGAGGCTCAGGAATGATGTCGTGTGACAGGTAAACCAAAGCTTTGGGCAACAGTAAAGTCTTAACAATAGCCCTCCCTGTGTACACTTGATTGTACCTACTGTGATGAAGTTAATGAAGGCTGACAGCCTCATTCAGACACATGGGACACGATTAAGAGTGGTGATAGCATGTTTTCTACAAAGGCTACATGTGGAAAGAAACAATTAAACAACTTAATACAAGTAGTAAAACCTGTTTAAAGTAGAGCTACAGGGTTTAATTACTGTGAACCTGTAGTAGCTTTCGAGAAATGTATTTCTGACTCAGGGTTATACAGAAGTGGTGGCTTTATCTATTACTTTACTTTATACTTTATTTCAGACCCATAGGTCCATATCGTTATAAAAAAGCACAGATATATAAATACAGGACATTAACAAAGGGGTGTCATCACTACATGTGATTACAATACAAAGACACATTTACACCAGTGTTTCCAGGAACACGAGGAATACCTTGTGTCGCTAAGACTGGGCTGGGTCAGTGACATTATAATGACATTATTTATTTAATCTACACATAAATTTGAACATACAATTTCTCAGCAGAGCATGAAATTTGCTCACATTATTAAAAACAAACATCTGACTTGAACCCGTCCATTTTGGTCGCTTCAGAAATATTCTGAATGCATCATTATATGCCACCTGCAGCTTTTTTATTTTAGCTTTACTATAATTGCACCACAAGTGGGCAGTATATAGGGGAGTACAGTAAGCTCTGAACAGCTCAGTTTTAACTTTGTCTGAGCACATTGAAAATTTCGGTGCCAGCATATTAGTTTGAGCATACAGTTTGCAGCACTGACGCTGCACATCATCATCATCACTCAAGTCATTCCTGATAATATGTCCCAGATATTTGACTTTATCTACCACACTCAGGGCTTGATCAGAGATAGAGAACGAAGGAAAATTCTGCTTTCGATCATCCTTGGATTTTACAATCATGACAACGGTCTTCTTACTATTATACTTTATCTCACACTGCACTCCATAACTCGAGCAGATTCTTAAAAGATTCTTTAGTTCTGTACTTAAACTTAAACCATGTACACAACCCCAATTATTTAATAGCTGGGATGTAGTGATGAATGTCACTTTTAGAAATTATGATTTTCTAAACATTCAAACCAGAAAAACCATTGAAAATAGTTGGAGCATTATGGAGTGTAATATGAAACAGAGGACACCCTGAACTGTTGAGCAGCTGAAGTCCTACATTATAAGAATGGCCAAATATTCCACTTTCAACGTTACAGAAACTGGTCCCCTCAGTTCAAGTGATCCAACAGGGTGGTTAATAAGACCTGGTCTCCACATCTTTGAACCATGTTGTCGGCATCACATTCAAGTGAGGCGGCAATTTTCCAAAAATAAAGACATTTCTCAGTTTCCACATTGGCCATGAGGTTGGGTTTCAATGTTTTGGAAATGGTCCTTTATGTTTATTAATACATTAAACATAACATCCCCGCTTTTATGAATTGTGGTGGTACAAAGAAGCACTTTCAACAGAAACTGCAGAAAATACATCAAGTCAAGTCAAGTGTATTTATATAACCCACTTAACATAACCGCAGTTGACCAATGAGAGTAAAATGAGGTGTGACATTTATCCACCACAGACAGCTGTTTGTATCAGGGGAAATAAAAAAAAACTCTCTTCACCGTTCAATTAAGATTGTACATGGACTGATGAGATGGCTACTTGTACAACACTTCGTCGTAAAAAGAGCACAGAGCACAATACACTTCCTAATATGAGGCAACATCTTCATTGTCCCTGTGGATTCTGTTATAAATGCATTAATCTCAGCATTCATTGATCCAGTCATTACTGGTCTTGGACGTGCAGGTCCTCATTTATTGAGCTCCGTTGTCTTATTTTTTTCCCTCAGCCACATTCAATTCTTTGGGAAGCGCGCCCCTTCTCACTCCACCTCAATTAATGTAATTCTCTGGGAGCCCACTGGAGTGCTGATGGGAATGAAGAACTGCATTCAGACTACATGCCTGAGAGAGGATGATAAGACCGGATCATTAACAAAACAAAGCTGCAAATGTTTACCCCGTGGATGGCATTCTTCATCTTAATGTGTCCCTGTCATTACTGTTTTTTTTCCACCTGCATATTTGCTGCAGAAGCCATGCGCAATAAATGTTGAAGCTACTCTGTAATGAAAGAAACATGGGTGCACATTTTGAAGAAATGGCTGTAAAAGCTTTAGTAACATTCTCTCTTTTTAATGGGCCTTGAAAAATATTCAGATGTAGTTTGACTGAGTAATCAAGTGCTTTGTCATGTCGTGGGGATTTCGACCCTGTGTAAAGGAGTGCAAGAAATCATTAAGAACCCCGAGTGACATCCATAACATGCTGAAGTTGCAGTCATGGAGCTTTACCAGCTGGGGATTATGATTTGATCACTTTCCTGATTGGGTTTCAGTGTCACTGGTAATAGAGTTGGACATAATAGCATCTCATTGACTGATATCCAATACGCGATGGCCACATGATAGACGGGGACAGATGGAATTGAGCTGGTGATAAGGCCACTCCTTCTCCTAAGGTGTCTTAGTCCCACAGCATTTCATCTCATCGTGCTCAGCACTGGCTTGATCAATGTGGGTTAAGGAGTAAGAATGACTAAGTATGTCTGGAGGCGGTGAGAAGCACAGCAGGCTTGAGTGCAGGTCTCTGATCTCAGATATACTTGCCAACATCCACGCCTGTTTGGAAATCACTTGGTTTCACTTGATTACAGATGGTATCATCAAATCCCCAATCTGATCTTTGACCTCAAAGGGAATAACATGAAATTGAGTTCAGTAAATCTTACCCATAAAACCCCTTTTTTGATGAGTCTGATGTCCAGTTGTCTATTGGGTGGGAATAAGTTATTAGTGGTGTCCACAATGGTGGTAACATGTCACCCCCGTAATTAACTGTCAACCATAATATCACAGATTCCCCCCCGCCACCACACTATTCTCTACAGTCTCAATCTGTCACAAGTAATATGGTCGATAAAATGTGCCGAAAGCACAAAAGTGTGCACTATCTTCTTTCACAAACCTTGTGTGAATCAGGAAAAATCGCCACGTGACCAGGGAGCAATCAACTGTGGGGACAAATTTAGAGCATGAGCTGAAACTGCATACCACTGGCAGAATTCTATGTTTTTTGACAGCCATCACACATAGATAAGAGTCTCCAAGAGACAAGCCTCAATGAGGCCTAATTAGATGTGAAGGATTTTGTTTCTGTGATTTTTTTTTCCTCCCACATTTCATCATGTCAGAACATTACAATCCAACTGCATGTGTTTGATTGTTGTAAATAACATATTTTAAGCAACCATTACAATTCTGCATTTGAACCTTAAGTAGTAGTAGTTCTGGACAACATCAAACAGGTCATATTCCAGTATCTGCAAATGATAGTATGAATACTGCCGTCATGTTCACCCACTCTTGAATGAAAATGGGGCCACAATCACTTTTTGCATACAACTGGAAATCTAAGATGAAATGATCATTTGTTAATTGCATTGTTAGAGGGAAGGGTGGAGGCTTGCTAACAAATGGCATTGAAATTAAATATTGTGGGACTTCTTTTGCTCTAAAGCCCTATATTTATCTCTCAGCATCCAATTACCTGCTAGTGTATGGTCTATATTTTATCCTAAAAGATTGCGTGAGCTGAGTGTCAGCCACAGCACATACATCAAACTCGCCACCATCCATCTTAGATTGCGTCCTCCTGCTGCTACTGCTGCTACACCCCTACTGTCCTTTTTTTTTTACACTCAAACAGAAAAACCAGACTGGAGGTTGGAAGAAATGAGAGGAGGAAAGGAAGAGATGGTACCCGAACAAACCATACATTAGCTCAGCATATGTGTCTATCACAAAGCATGAATTGGATTACCATCTGAAAAATGGTTTTAATTCCTCTTGAAGCTGTGCCCCTTCACTCTTTATCTGAAAGATTGCTCAGACTGATTGATTGTCCACAAGGGATCCTATGGGAATCCTATGGTATTCAGCTTTCTGCAGCACACACAATGAGGTTTTTGTGCAAGATGCATGTGGATAATACATATTTTTCGCTTTTCAAGCAAGGATCTGCCCTTTTTATGTCAAGACTCTGTATGATAGAATGCTGTGCATATACAGCAGCTACTTGCATTGAAAACAGCCTTTAAAACTCTGTGCAGAGACTGAATGATGCAGAATTCAAAAGTGTCAGCACACTCAGTTATGCAAGCACATACCTTATTCCTTGTAACCACCCACTTCTATTCATCTTGAGTCTGTGTCATGAATATTGCAACACGTTTCATATTCCTCTGTTCTGTTCGGAACTGTGTCACACAATAATTACTTCCTTTTAGCACTTACAATTGTTGAACTTACCATCTGGCTGAAAGTGAACACAGTTACTAAACTATGTATTTTAACTGAGCTTTATTCTTGCATTGATTTCACACTGATGTCCCAGTTTTCAGTTTTTGATGTGAAGTTGCCAAATTGACCAGGGAACAGCAGCGTATGCCATACAACCTGATTTAAGTTTTACTGTTGATGTTTGGGATGATGCATTTTAATGTTCTTCTACCTGCATTGATTTCCAACTATCTGAAGAAGCAGAACATTTGCAAAACATGGGAAAGCCTAAATGCTTAGCGTGTCAGTTTTGTAGGTTTCATTTTCCAACTAAATGTTTTCTCTTGTTGTCTACGCAGGTAACCGATAAGATGGTGGCCAGGGAAGCGACTGGGCACAGCTACCTGGTGGTTTGCTGGCAGCCCATTCTGATCCTGATGCTGGGCACTGTGCTGTCTGGCTCCACCACAGGCTGTCCATCCCGCTGTGAGTGCAATGTTCAAGAGCGCTCTGTTATGTGCCACCGCAAGAAGCTCATGACAGTTCCTGAGGGCATTCCTGCAGAGACAAAACTGCTGGACCTCAGCAAGAACCGCATAAGAACCATCAACCCAGACGAGTTTTCTACCTTTCCAAACCTTGAACACCTGGAGCTCAGTGAAAACACAATCTCCACAATTGAACCCGGAGCCTTCAACAATCTTTACGGCTTGCGGACATTGGGACTGCGTAGCAACAAGCTTAAGCTGATCCAGCTCGGTGTGTTCACTGGCCTGAGCAATCTCACACAACTGGACATAAGTGAGAACAAAATTGTGATCCTGCTGGACTACATGTTCCAGGATTTGTACAACCTCCGGTCCTTAGAGGTGGGTGATAACGATCTGGTTTTTATCTCCCATCGGGCTTTTCATGGTCTAAGTAGCCTTGAGCACCTGAGTCTTGAGAAGTGCAACTTGTCCTCTGTGCCAACAGAGGCTTTTACCCACCTCCACAGTTTGGTCACTCTCAGGCTACGCCTCCTCAATATCAATGTTATACGGGATTACTCCTTTAAACGTCTCTATCGACTTAAAGTATTGGAAATAGCCAATTGGCCATATTTGGATACCATGACCCCAAATTGCTTGTATGGATTAAATCTCACTTCTCTGACCATAGCTAATGCCAACCTGACCACAATTCCTTATGTAGCCCTGAGGCACTTGGTTTATTTGCGCTTTCTTAATCTGTCCTATAACCCTATTCACACCATTGAGGGGAATAAGCTCCATGATCTTCTGCGTCTGCAGGAATTTCACCTTGTTGGGGGCAGATTGGCAATGATTGAGCCCTACTCTTTCCGTGGCCTAAACTACCTGAAGATTCTAAATGTATCTGGAAACTCTTTAACCACTTTGGAGGAGTCTGCTTTCCACTCAGTTGGAAACCTGGAAACCCTTGCTCTGTATGATAATCCCCTGGCCTGTGACTGCCGACTGTTATGGGTTTTCAGACGGCGCTGGAGACTGAACTTCAACAGACAGCAGCCCACCTGTGCCTCCCCTGAGTTTGTCCAAGGCAAAGAGTTTAAGGACTTCCCAGATGTTCTGCAGCCTAACTACTTCACGTGTCGCAAGTCTAGGATTAGGGATCGCAAACCCCAGCAGAAATTTGTTGATGAGGGAGCCATTGTTCATTTTGCTTGCCAAGCAGATGGAGATCCCGCTCCTGTCATAATGTGGCTATCACCACAGAAAAAGTTTATCACCACCAAGACCATTGGAAGGCTCTCTGTGTTGCCAGATGGTACCCTTGAGGTGCGCTATGCTCAGATCCAGGACAATGGTACATATGTTTGTATAGCTAGCAATGCTGGTGGAAATGACACCTCTCTTGCTCACCTGCACATTCACAGCTACTCACCTGACTGGCCACACCAACCCAACAAGACTTTTGCCTTCATCTCCAACCAGCCCACAGAAAATGGTTCTAATGGTACAAGAGCCAATGTTCCTTTCCCCTTTGATATAAAGACATTGATCATTGCCACCACCATGGGCTTCATCTCTTTTCTTGGCGTTGTCTTGTTTTGCCTGGTACTGCTTTTCCTATGGAGCAGAGGTAAAGGCAACACTAAGCACAACATCGAGATCGAGTATGTGCCACGGAAATCAGACGCTGGCATGAGCAGCAGCCAGGTGGATGCTCCTCGCAAGTTTAACATGAAAATGATCTAAGGGAGCTGTGGAATTTATGAATTTTGAACTGAAAAATAAGACAAATGGAAAAGAAGACATTTTCTTTTCTCTCTTACAAACCTGTGGATCCTGGTCTGTTAACATAGAGTAAAATGTTTTTTTTTTCCTGCCTGATGCACTAGAGAGAAGGGCAGATCATGACTTTCACAAGTGAGAAGGAATAAAAGCACATCCAGTGCTACAGGGCATTGATGGTTTTAACAAGGCCTGTGAGGGCATTCATTGAAAGTCAGATTTGTCATAAGCAGTTCATATTCCTGTGGATTTATAATGGGAAAAATATAGTAGAAAAGAAAAACACTTCTTCGCCACCAGATTGGAGGGGCAGATCATATTTTGGCCATTGTCGTTTCATGTCTGTATTTTTTATTTTGTGTTGTTTTTTTATTTTCCAGGGTTAGATCAAGTTATGAATACCATTTGTATGGGTTGATGAGCACATTTATACAACATTGATGCATTTCAAGTACATCATCGATACATCAGTGTTATAATGTGAATGCCACATATGGTCTTCTTTTGCTTTCCAACAGTGATAATTGTTCTGTAATCCATTCAATGTAAATCTGTGTCACAATACATGATACAATTGGTTGACAAAATAGGCCCCGCAAATGAGCAGACATACATAGCATAGCATACACAGCATCATTTTATCATCAAAAACAACACTTAATTTGAATGTCACAGCAGCTAATTCTTTGTCATTTAATGACCGAGAAATTTCAGTAAATGGTACTCTTACATAGTTTACATTGGTCATTAAGTGACCTAAAATAATGAATGATATTTAAATGTAAGTGCTAAAAAAATAGATTCAGTGATATAGGGATACTTCGGTAGAGTTCACAATATTGATACCAATTGGCAGTAATGCACTGTAAAAAGAAAAAAAACCTATCTGAGAATATTGCATTTTTAGAAAGATTAAAACAAGAATATTTAGTGTTGAAAAGTAGAGAAGCCTGTTGGTAAGTGTGGCTCTTTATATGGGATTTTAGCTTTTGGGGAAATGCTTGGATAGAGCTTTATGAGCCCAGTAAATGATATCAGTATCAGTGTCATTCATCCCTAATTTTCAGATGGAAGCCACACAGTGCACAGATGGATTGAGGGGATGATACAGAAGGGAATGTGGGATGTAGTTGATATGATGCTCTGTTCCGAAAATAAACACAGCATCTATCCCCCTGGCTCCTCCATCAAACAGAATGGTTTGTATTGGCACCTTGATGTGATGTGCGCTTATCCCAGACTTTTTTTAATCACATTTCAAAAACTGTTATGTAATGGTATTATTTTGTGCTCAACAAGATTGTGAGAAATCAGACTGTGGTGCTCATGTTTTTGGATACAATGTGCTCCTCAAGCTGTAGAATATTGATTTCATTGTTGATTATGTTTCTTGGTTGTTTTATGAAATCAATTATTTATTTATGCCGATGCCCCCATCCCCCCCACCAACCCCCCATCAAAGCCATGGAAATATTCAGTTCCAGGATCATTAACAGGTTTGCTATCCCCCAAGAAATGTGTGGTGTTTGTCAGGGGGGGAAAAGAACTGCGCTTATTATGCTCGCCAGTTGACCTGCATATAAAATCTGAGGTTACAGCCTTACCTTTCAAAGTACACACCGTGGACAGCTGGGCTTTACAAACGTGTGTGAGGATAAAGGCTAAGTTATTTATGATGGATGACATTACAGACAGCGACAGAGTAATGGGCTGGAAGTATGGACAGAATATGCAGATGGTTGGAGTGACACAGATGGTTTCACCCATGGAGCAATCTGAAGCAGCTTTGGTGTAATCCGTTTTGCATAAAGGAAAAAAAAAACACTGGATATGGCTCATGGTTTTCCATCTTGCTGAATATGAATGCTCTCTTTGTTCAAAGTGTGGCTACTGTACCTAGCCTTTTTTAGTCCCGAGTGAGCCCGGGATTCTGTTTTCCATTTCTGTTATTCCTTTTTTTTTTTTTTTTCACCCTGGACTATATTGACTATGTAGTCCAAGCCAACTTTTTACTAAAAAAAAAGGTACTAAAAAATAAATCTATGGAAAATACATTCAAATTGTTCTGTGCAATAAAGGTAATATGCAGATTTTTTTTTAATTAACAAAATTTTGTTGATGTTGAATTGTTGAGAATATGGTATGTTGTATTAAACAATCTATGGACTTTTTTAAACACATGATGGTCCTATCTTGATTTTAAATAAGTGGTTAGAGAGGACTTAAATGTCAGAGAAAAGACAGCTGCATATCTGGGGTTTTAATAACATTGGTTCACACCACTGACACAAATAGTATCCTACTTCCCTAGGTGATGACATTTTGTATATTGAAAACCTTTTTACTTGACACTTTTGCAAAATTGTTACTTTTTCCACCTGCATACCATTCAAAGAGATCCTAGTCATACATTTAGAATATCTCTTCCATTATCATGAAAAGGAAGTACAAATCTACCTTAACGCTTAACCTAAATATACCTATAAGCTTAAATCTAGCTTAACCTTAGGGTGTATTGTTTTGGTCTCTCAGTGTCCAATTGAGAAATGTAACGTAATTCCAGTATATGATTTCTTTGAGTCAATACCACATTAAATGAGGATGCAGGCTGCAAGTTAATTTGACATCTCATGTTTCAGCACTAATTACTTGTTTGTTGGGGCATTAGTAGTTCACTTTTTCACTCGTCTAGTTTCTAACTATCATTAATTAATCAACATTAGCGAAGGATCACAGTCATTAGGATAAACATAGGGGAGGTTGTTAATGTATGCTTGACATTGCTTATCTCAAAGTAGACTAAGGGTAAAGTAATGAGTATGTGAACCTCAAATTAAATAAAAATAATAGCATAACTATTTCACACTGAATGAAAGTTTTATTCTGGGATGTCTCTGTGAAAAACGAGAAAATGAGGTTACCCTTTGAAGGTTGTGGGAAGTGACCAGGGATACGATTGGCAGCCTGGTTTCATAAAACATGCTCCTATTCTGCATTAGGTTTGGATCTCTGTCCCAATCCTTTTTATTCCACATCTTTGGTTAGGACTCCATAGGGACTTTTGACGTTCTTTCTGTTTCGCCTCAAGCTGTATCAAAGCATGCTCATTTATCTTCTGACTTGAAAACAGACAGGCAGAAAAGAAAAGGAGAGAAGCTATTCTTGAGGCCCTCAGAGCCCTGGGGAGTAATGGAGACATCCACTCTTTTCACTGCTTTAGATATTAAATCTGTGCTTAGGATTCTAGGTCAGGAAAAGGCTGATGGATTCTGACAATGCGCGACAAGTCGCCTCTCCTCAACCAAGCATGAAAACATCAACACACCTCTGGGTGTTCCTTGCGCTCATCCAAATCCATGTGCTTAATGACATCAGGGAAACACTGCGTGTAAGCAAACAAAAGTGTGAATTTGCTGTTGGCGGTGTCTCAGTCGCACAATAGAAGCTTCAGATGACTAAAATAAAAAGACGGTCATTTGGGATTTGTGTTTGGATGTGGAATCCAAACTCGTGGCTGGGAGGCTGTTTCTCATATCCATATCAAAGGGACCAATTTAAGCCCTGTTTATTTCGAAGTCTCCATATTTTACCTACTGTATGTTAATTCACCTATTTTTGTAACTGTCAGTCAAATCATAGCATATTTTATCACTTTTTGAATTTGTGTAATCACTAGCTAACTCCATCAGTTAATTAAGCTAATGGAAGAGGCACAAGTTCTGACAAAAATAAAAGTATTTTAAAGATTATTTTAAATGTCAAGTATCTAATTAAAAGGGATACCATCCAAGTAACTTATACTGTAGGTAGTGTTGTAGTCAAGACAACACTAACCGAGAACAAGACATGCCCGGCGAGACCAGAGTGCCCCCGAGACTGAGACAAGGCCAAGACTTTCAAGGATCAAGACCGAGACCAAGTCAAGACAAAGACCATACATATTGAAGAAAATCATCCTTTTGTGTGCAGCAGGCATGTCCCTCGATTAGACCGTAACACAGGGACGGTTGCTGCAGTAACTGAGGGATGAAAATCTAATCATGAATGAAGTCATACTCTCTTGTAGAAAGGGGTGTTTTCCATCTAATCACAGTAATGACGAGGATAAAAAGCCTGCCAGTGGTGGTCTGGATTTAAAATCCGGAGTCGCCCAGTCTGAGACCGAGATAAGACTGAGTAAAAATGCTTTGATTTCAAGATGAGACGGACACCTTCAAAAAGACCAATTTTGAGTGCTACAATACTAACCGTAGGTAACTGTGTCAAACAGCATATTGCATATGTGTAACAGCTGTTGCTGGCACAATCCATATTCTTTAGCCTTCAACAAGAAACAAACTGCATACAAACTCTGAAATGTTGTTAAGGGTACCATAAAGATGTGACTACAAGTCACACAGCTATCAAGTCACAGTTTGCTCTGCAGAATCTCCAACAACAGACTGAAAAAAGGTTCAAACTGTGTGATGATTTCCCTTGCATTCAGCCAACTCTTATGTTCACTTGTTGTCTTCAGTTATGGAGTTGTGATAATCCAATAAACTAGCCTCCCCAGCATGCTTTGCACAGGGAAGTTGCAGGCTTGCAAGAAACAAAAAAAAAAAAAATTCAATCATGTCAGGTGCAAGCAGTGAGTGATGGTTGTGGCTGCACTTGTGGTCCTTAAAGCACATGTGCATTATGAAGATTATAACGCCTCCTGGGTAAAATATGTTCTTAACATTGTAAACTGGTTGATTGGTACACCACAGGATGCAGCTTACTGTTTATATGAAAAATGGTACCGTGTAATATGCATAAAAATGCATTTTATGCACCAAATTTGATGCTAAATGCTGAATCAACACTCTATAATTATAACTAACTTTTCTTCAGTTTATAATATACAAACTATTAATAGATAGTTTTCCACTTTTGTTTGATTTATAAATATTCTCAGAAAATGTTCATCTTAAGATTTAAATCCAAATTTGGCTTTTAACTGTCCATATGAGACTAAGTCATCTGAAAAACTAAGCTGCAATATGAACATCCCATTCAAAATGCTAATTTTTACAGCAGAAATAAACATGTTTACAGCCTGGTTCAAAAAACGTTATTGGTCTGATTAATTATTGTCTTCATTTGCACACACTGTAGAGGGATATATATTTTTTTTAAAACTCATCAATTTTGTTTTTTATAAAGGATAAGAGTTATGCATAAGGCTGACAGGCGGGCGCGATGCAACAGTTGGTCAAGAGGCTTAAAACCCGCCTCAGCTCCAGCTCTCAGCCCTTCATTAGTTGTCTGAAAGTTAAGTTGAGACAGGATTTCCAGCATATCGAGCGCTACCGACGGGCTTCCAAAGACCCCTTCAGTAAAAGATGGGTGACGTCACTCAGGCTTTGTCCATTAATATTAAAAGTCTATGACTGAAACAGACTAAATTAATGCTATATGCCAGGTCTTGATGTTTTTGCACTGGTAGGCACACTAAAACGATTTTAAAATTCAAAGCCTTCATGTCAGGAGTAGCAACAGGTGGTTTAGAAGAGTGATGAATTTGGGCTGATTCCAGTTACAGAACCTTTGCACATATTGCAAGTAGTTTATAATGGGGACATTCAGATATAGCTGCTTCATTAAATTGTTTTTTAAGTATGGAAATGCTAACGTCAAAAACCAGTATAAAGATGTGATGGGATGAATTCAGCTTAGAGGGATGGAATTCATCATGCTCTACTCAGACTGACTGGCTTTTGAAAGTTTATTGCTACACTGTTGTAAAAATTCATCTGCTGTGAATAGTCATTTTCACGAACCATTAAGGCAAAATGGGATAAAGACGCAAACTGCAATTTAAAAAAAAAACACAACGCTAAGTCTGACATCTCCTGAAAGATTTCCATAAAGACATCAAACAAAATATCTTTGTTCAGTTTTCTTTTAAATCAATTGATAATATATATATATATATATATTTTTACATTACTGGCCTTTAATATTTAGCCTCACCAACCTTAAACATTTTGAACAACTTTTTAAAATAATCATGTTTTTTTGCAAGCTGCTTTATGTTTTTAAAATATACCATGTCTGGAAAATTTGTGTTTTTTTCCTTACTTAATACAACATTTGCTTTTCAGTACTTTTGCTAAGTGCTTAATGTCCTTGGGGGATTAAATAAAAACATCTCTTTATATCTGATGCCCTCACACTGAGTGTCTATGAGCTGTTAATACATAGATTAGACTGACTAATGTGCCAAATGTTCTAAAGTTTCCACAGAATGTTATTTCTAGATATGGCAAATATGTAATGTTGAATTTGTCCCATTTTGTGGTCAAACATACATTGCAAAGACACAGTTTGTGTTTAGCAAACTCATACATGCATATAGCTTTAATTTAAATTAAACATCTGCTGCATTATTTCAGCAGTATTGTGTAACTAACATATAGCTTCTTCCTACTTTTGACTAAACCCCGAAGGATGTAGACTCTGCAGCTGTTCTAAGCAGACTTGACACACAAAAAAAGAAGTGTGTCTCGTCTTGTTTCAGTTAAAGTCGAAATCAAAGCAGCAGCATTCTTTGTTCAGGAGTGAGACGCAACATGTCGGGTTTCTGGAAGCTGTTGACTGAATTTCTCCCCTCAGGATTGTTGGGAAACTGGACATGAGAGTTTATTGTGTTACCTCCTTCCACTGACTGAATGATAAAGTGAAGAGTCTACCATAGAAGCCAGACAGCAGCAAGCTTGTTTTTCCTTTTCAGGAAGCCGGGCTTAATGGAGAAAGGCACAAACCTTCTATAATAGTCATGAGATCAAAGCAAAAAAGTCAAAGTTTAAAATGACTTAAACCTGCACTGGAATAATGAATGATGAAAAATGTCTAGAAAGCACAAAAAAAAGATGTAAACATGAATTAGATTAAGCAATTAGACACACACTACACACAATTAGATTGTGTGTAGCTTTAAATGCAAATGAGCTGTGTTCAACCAGGCCCGTCCCCAGAAGGAGAAGTTGCTCTGGCTTTCTTACACCATGCCCAACTGTTTATGATGAGAAGACAGACTCAGAGGGCAGAACAAAGACCTAGCTGTGGGAGTGTCAGCCACCTGGGGGGAGGGGTTACTACCCTTTGTGATGTCATAAAGGGAAAATCTCCAAACAGCCTGTTTGTGCACACAT